GGTGGTGGTCGCATGACTCTATGCATTAAATAAAACTACAAAGAACTACACACACATATACACACATTCACATGAATGCAAGTTTAAAAATGGTTAAAACTGGCCGGGCGCGGTGGCTCAAGCCTGTAATCCCAGCACTTTGGGAGGCCGAGGCGGGTGGATCACGAGGTCAGGAGATCGAGACCATCCTGGCTAACATGGTGAAACCCCGTCTCTACTAAAAATACAAAAAACTAGCCGGGCGTGGTGGCGGGCGCCTGTAGTCCCAGCTACTCGGGAGGCTGAGGCAGGAGAATGGCGTGAACCCGGGAGGCGGAGCTTGCAGTGAGCCGAGATCGCGCCACTGCACTCCAGCCTGGGCGACAGAGCGAGACCCCGTCTCAAAAAAAAAAAAAAAAAAAAAAAAAAATGGTTAAAAAAAAAAAAAAAAAAAAAAAAAAATAACAGTAATGTAACAGTATCAATTTTTGGTTTTGACATTGGGTAAACACGGACATAAAAATGGCAACAACACACACTGGGGACTACTAAGGTGGAAGGAAAAGAAGGGGCAAGGGTTGAAAAAGTAACTATTGGGTACCACGCTCATTACCTGGGTGACAAGATCAATCATACTCCAAACTTCAGCATTGTGAATATACCATGTAACGAGTGTACAAGTACTCCCTGAATCTAAAATAAATTATTTTTTTAAATCTGCTTTTGATGTTGTACTATAGCTATATACAAAGCCACCACTGAGAGAAGTTTACACATGGTTCATAGGACTCTGTGCTATTTTTGTCTTTTCTATCGTTATTTCAAAATAAAAAGTTTAAATAAAAAATGGCCTTGGTTATGATAACCTGAATTTTGAACCCAGGTCTGCCTAACTCTAAACTTGTACTACCGCCCTGTGTACTATAATGCTTGCAAAATCTGTTTTATTAAAACATACTAAACATGCATAATTTCCTAGAGAGAAGAATATAATACACAAGAAGTCCATCCTGGGTCACATTTAAAGAGGTTAAGGCAGTTCAAAACACACATTATTAGAAAGAAGTTTAAAATATGAAATCATTTCATTCATAGCAACTAAGACCAGGTGTTCCAATGTACTAATATGGTCATGAAAAGAGCACTTCAGAAGTCTAACAGGAGGTGACGGGGTTGCTTTGGCATAGTGACTAGGGGTACTGTTTTTCACTCCCCTTCCAGTAGAGGCAGTTCTATAGTTTCCTGCCATGTTGCCTTGTTCACTTGAAAAGTTAACAGCTGTTCCACTCCTTCCACACTAGGCAAACAAACTGCACAGTAGAAAGCTGTAAATAGAGCCATGACAGTGTATATTCACTTGGCATCCCTTTTTCATCTACCTGGGATCTTCCTGATGAGACTATCCTTGTGAGACGCAAAACATGGCCAAATTACAATCATCACAGCCAGAGAGGTGAGTTAAAATTACCAAATCATTTTGGGAGTAAGCAAAAGTTGCTGCCTGTCTTCATATAAATTCATCATACCCTTATATATTATGCAGCAGCTATGAAAAGTTACACATTTAGGAAAGAGCAAGATAATATTTAAAAGAACAAAATAGTGATGACGTAGTTAATAATGTTCTTCTGTTTTGCACCATTTTATTTTATTTCGATAATTACTCCCAAAATATTTTTATTAATTGATCAGATAAAACAAAAAACAGAGCCAATTGGTTCACTGTGTCAAGTTTCCAAGGCTGAATGTCCCATTAGTCAGAGATCTACAAATTCAACTCCATATATTAAATAATTCAATTTAACAAATACACAGTATTAAATATGTTTAAGAAGGAGATGACATTGCTTTAGGAGTTGACACAAAAAGAGAAAATGGTACTAATGTGTGTCTTCCATGGGAAGATAGCAAAACCAAGAAAAGACCATTATTACTCTTATTAAGTGTGTGCTAACATGGCAAAATCAATGTTATCTTAACAACAAGAAGGAGAAAACCTGTGAGAGTGATCTTCAAGTATTTAAAAAGGAAGTAGATATGATCAATTGTACTTCCTCAGGACAGAACTAGGAGTAATGGTTAGAAATTACAAGAACATACAGGAAGGCTGACAGTGTATTTATATACATATGTACATATATACATACATTTTTTAAAATTTAAAAGATATGTGTGTATAAATATATATTTTTATGTGTCTATATATATTGATGTATATGCCCTAAATTCTATAAATAAATGAGCTTTAACTTTTTTCTTTTTTTTGAGATGGAGTCTCACTCTGTCGCCAGGCTGGAGTGCAGTGGCATGATCTCGACTCACTGCAACCTCTGCCTCCCGGGTTCAAGCAATTCTCCTGCCTCAGCCTCCCGAGTAGCTGGGACTTACAGGCATACACCACCATGCCAGGCTCATTTTTGAATTTTTGGTAGAGATGGGGTTTCATCATGTTGCCAGGATGGTCTTGATTTCTTGACCTCATGATCCACCTGCCTTGGCCTCCCAAAATACTGGGATTACAGGCGTGAGCCACTGTACCCGGCAGAGCTTTAATTTTTAAAAATTTAAAAGATCATGTGTATATAGATACATATGTGTGTATATATAAAAGATCATATGTGTGTATATATATACATAAAAGATATATCTACATATATACATATATACATATATCTTTTATGTATATATACACATATATATCTTTTATATATACACACATAGATGTATATATAAAGATATATATACATATATATCTTTTATGTATATATACACATATATATCTTTTATATATACACACATAGATGTATATATAAAGATATATATACATATATATCTTTTATGTATATATACACACACATGATCTTTTATATATATATACACACATATGATCTTTTAAGTGTTTTAAAATTAAAGTTCATATATTTATAGAATTTAGGGCATATACATTAAATTACTATCTATAGTGATATCTTATTAAAACTACTAGAGAGGACTTCCTGAGACCCTTTCTAAGGGCCTGTCTTCCCCCAGAGGCCCCATGGGACAGAGAAAGCATCTTGATACCCAGGGCCACAAATGAACAATCCACAGATACCACATATAAGGGAGACCTGTATCCTATGAGGTAACCTGAGGATGAAAGAGTGAGTCATATTGGGTGGCGATTAAATGACCCAGCCTCCTCTCTCAAGAAGACTTTACATTTTAGACAGGCAGCAGAAGCAGCAAAGGAGAAAGGAAGTGCAGAAGCATCAGAAGAAAAAAAGGAGAAAACTGAGCCTTGATTACGGCAAAGCAGCTATGGTACAAAGCAACTGACATCCAATCCCTTTTTTTTTTTTTTTTTTGAGACAGGGTCTCAATCTGTCACCCAAGCTGGAGTGCAGTGGTATGATTTCAGCTCACTGCAACCTCCACCTCCCAGGTTCAAGCGATTCTCCTGCCTCAGCTTCCCGAGTAGCTGGGACTACAGGCGCTCGCCATCATACCTGGCTAATTTTTTTATTTTTTGGTAGAGATGGGATTCACCATGTTGGCCAGGCTGGTCTTGAATTTCTGACTTCAAGTGATCTACCCATTTCGACCTCCCCAAGTGCTGGGATTACAGGCATGAGTCACGGTGCCCCGTTGTAACTGATACCCAATTCTAAGGGAACAAAAAGCAGACCAGTATTCTGAACTTTCTGCTCAATTGCCAGAGCTGTACAATATCCTTGAACAATGTTTCAGTTCTCCATTAGACCCTTCTGTTCGCCTGCCAATGCATTTTCCTACTATCCTGTGTGAATTTATTATCACCACAGGGAACCTGGAGATAACACTGAACTTCACCCGAACTCTGTACTCTTGGAAAGTGTCACAGTCAAGAAATTACCCCTATCCTTTTGTGTTCTGGGAACAGGCTTACTAGATAAAACTAACAGATGACCATCTTGCAGCCAAATGACAAGGCCAGAAACGGACTTTCCAAATTCCCATTCTCTGTCTCACACATGATTAACCAAACTCTTTGTCCCCATTTGCCATTCTGGTTGGTCAATGCCCACCAACGACCCGACCAAACTTTAGTCAGGCTCCTCTCCTTCCTTGAAACCCCTGAACTTTGGTCCACCCTGAAGCAATGGAAGGTGAGCCACCCCTCCTTAACGGCCATTCCCCAGAACCAGCTGACAGGGAAAAACATCCCCGATAACACAATATTCTGCCTCCCGCTATTGGAATCATCCTCCTCCTTTTATTGTAATAGTCTATGTAGATAAAGCCTCTCCTTACCTAAGTCCAGATTTGTTTTTAATTGACACTTGCAACCTTCAAACAGCCTAACTTTACAAAACACAAATTAAAACCATTAAATATCCTCTCATTTACAATATTTTTATAGAATCACAGCTATTACATCTTTTTTGATATATAGCCACATAATAAAATATAACATCTGTTAAATTTTTCCCAATGTTGAAATAGGAAAATTAACTAGACAATTAATTATTAAAAATAATTAAAATATGCTGGTTAAAATTAAGCATTTCATGATGAAAATGAAAAGCGGAACCCAAACAACTTAAGTTTTGAAATCACTGAAATAATTTCTTTATATTTTCACTTTTGTCTTACACAGTTCAATCATTGCCTGACAACCTATTCAAAAGAAGAAAAAAAGCTTGATGAGCTTGTATTTATGTTGGCCAACTATTAATTCAAGCTATGAAAGTAACAATAATAAATATACTTGCTAAAGTTCTTTCTGAAGAACTTTCTGCAACAATCTGTCACTTTTCCAGTGGTCCAGTATCCTAATCTCAACCTAGCACCTTTCACTGTAGAGGGTGCTGCAGATGCACATTAATTGCAGAACATACAAAAACACAGATCTCCAATGTGTTTAATCAAGAAGAGAAATAGAATAGACATTTATACTTCAGAAAGCATTTTTTTCTAAAATACTTACATTCTTAATTATAAAAAATATTTTGAAATAATACTTATATAACAAAAAAATCACAGAAAAATCACCTACTCACCAGCATTGACTATAGCATCTACCTCTAGCAATGTGATGTCACCTCTATAGAGAGAAACTTTTTCAGTCAAACTTTTCTTCACCTGGGATGTTTCCTGAGTATTTTCTTCTGTAATAGAAAATGGATATATATCAATAATAATATTAATTAATTTAATCAAGATGATTTTTTACTCAAGACTACTACAACACCCAATATGTGTCATGCTCTACTACAAAAAACAAGTGGAAATAAGAGCGTAAGTACGAGGGGTGTGGATTATTCTCTATTTTGTAATTCTCAAAACAAACACACTATCACATACAAAATGGACATACAATAAAATTTTAGTATGTTATATTGGTCAACAAGAAATTCAATACTTATGGGTAATTTTATTAAAATATCCATTCTAAAATAAAATTACGTACCATTACATTCACAAGGAGGTAAGAAAAAGATGTTTCAATCTTTAATGTTAGGTAAGAAGAACTTACCTAAAAGGCATCCTTGATAAGAATATATATATATATTTGAGCAAAAAAAATTTAGATTCAGCTCTTTGCTACTTCTTTTTTTTTTTTTTTTTTTTTTGGAGAGGGAATCTCACTCTATCACCCAGGCTAGAGTGCTACAGTGGCATGATCTCGGCTCACTGCAACTCCTGTCTCCTGGGTTCAATAGATTCTCCTGCCTCAGCCCCGCCCACCTCTCCCCCACTACCCAAGTAGCTGGAATAACAGGCATGAGCCACCATGCCATGCCCATCTAATTTTTGTATTTTTAGTAGAGACAGGGTTTCGCAATGTTGGCCAGGCTGGTTTTGAACTTCCAACCTCAAGTGATCTGCCCACCTCGGCCTCCCAAAGTGCTGGTATTAAAGGCATGAGCCACCACGTCTGGCCAGCTCTTTGGTACTTCTAAGTAACAAACTATTACTCCGGTTAGGAAATTTCAAGGAGAATATTTGAATTTGTTAAACTGCTCCTTTCTTATCAAATTGTATTTTACCTTTTGCTCTAGAGGGCGCTACTAGATTTTAAAAAGAAAGCTTTACCCCAACACACAAGAGCCAGCAAGCAGGTATATTTAAAACAAGCCAAAAACATTACATTCTGAAATCTGATTTTTTTTTAAATGATTTAGAGCAAGACTATATTTTTTTTTTTCCATTAATTTTTAACAAATAGTAATAAGATAAATTAAACCTAGTAAACAAAGCTGTGCAAAATAAATGTTTTAAAATATTTTAAATTGCTATTCATAAAAAGGTTTTTAATATACTTATAGGAAAGCTGATCTGTATTTTTGAATATATTTATATTAAAGTATGATATGTGTAAATCTTTCATGCAAGGAGATACTGCTATTCACTCACTGAGATACTCTGATTTTTAAAAGTATTTATGATATGTGTAAATTTTTAATGCGAGGAGATACTGCTATTCACTCATTGAGATATTCTCATAAGCATGCAATTTTGAGAAATCTGGGGGATTAGAGGTGATAGGTTATGAGTCACCTAAATTGTCTTTGGACCACAATAGTCCCCCCACCAAAAAGAAAATTTGGCCAAGACTAGAAAATAACCTGTGACCATAAAAATGATCCTTTCTCTGTCTATAAAGCATTCCCTTCTTAGCAACCACTTCTCTCCCAGAAGTATTCTAATCAAAATACTCAACTGGTTGTAGTAATAATGAGAAGGAGAATAATGTGGGCAACTTGTATGTTAATGAAGTAGAGAAAAACTTTATGAAACCTCAAAATATAAAATACTTATACTTGAGTTGACCTCTCAGGGACTCCTACAGTACTATTTATCTCTGCCAGATAGTGGGTCAGAGCAGACTTTACTACCAGACTGACTCTGTTAAAATCCTAATTCTGCCAATAAACAGCTGGGTGAGTTTGAATAAGTTATTTCCTCCATGCATCAGTTTGTAAACTACTGGCTCCTTCACAGTTAACATGAGTTCATGACACTTAAAATGTTTGCCTCATAGTAAGTGATCAACAAACACAATCTTTTTTTTTTTTTTTTTTTTGAGACGGAGTTTCGTTTTTTTTTTTTTTTTTTGCTGGAGTGCAATGGCGTGGTCTCAGTTCACTGCAACCTCCATCTCCCAGGTTCAAGCGATTCTCGTGCCTCAGCCTCCCAAGTAACTGGGATTAGAGGCACCCGCCACCACGTCCAGCTCTTTTTAGCAGAGATGGGGTTTCACCATGTTGGCCAGGCTGGTCTTGAACTCCTGACTTCAGTTGATCCACCCACCTCAGCCTCCCAAAGTGCTGGGATTACAGGCGCGAGCCACCGCGCCTGGCCAACGCTACCTTTTTTTTTTTTTTTAACAAAGGTGACAAATATTATTTCAGCATCCATGGACCACAATAGTAAGATATTTTTTCAAAATATTTTATTCTAAATAAAATACCAATCTATTTATTATTCCTTATCAGTGAAAGAGACTATATTTTGTTTGTGCTCTTATCAAATTGTCAACACTTGACCCAATGACAAAGACTCTGAGCCACAAGTCCTTCAGTTCCACATCCAACTAGTTTCTATTGTGATTAACCAAATTATAAACTCTTGATTCTCCATTAATGATTATTAAATGACAATAAATATTTGGTGGCTTTGTCAGAGAAAAATGCATATTTAGACTATTGTGAACCTAGAAATTATAAAGATTCATCACTGAAGATGTTTCAGAACTCTATCAGGCATTAAATTGACAGACTTATAAATGAATGCAGAAAGACCATTTCAACTTGGGAGACAGAGTAAATAGATTTCCTAATTATTCTTTAACTGGTTTTAGCTCTAAAAAGTATTATTTCATTTTCTCATGAAGCATTATGTAAGTAACATCACATTTGTAGTGATAGAATTTTTAAACATATGAGACAAGTCATGTGTTTCTTTCTCAAAAGTAATTATAAAAGAAAGGTATGGGAGGGCTAGGCACGGTGGCTCACGCCTGTAATCCCAACACTTTCAGAGGCTGAGGCGGGCAGATCACAAGGTCAGGAGATCAAGACCATCCTGGCTAACACAGTGAAAATCTGTCTCTACTAAAAAAAAAAAAAAGAGCCAGGCATGGTGGCACGTGCCTGTAGTCCTAGCTACTTGGGAGGTTGAGGCAGGAGAATCACTGGAACCTGGGAGGTGGAGGTTGCAGTGAGCCGAGATCGTGCCACTGCACTCCAGCCTGGGCGACACAGGGAGACTCCGTCTCAAAAAAAAAAAAGAAAAAGAAAGGTATGGGAAAACATTGACGTTTAAACCATTTTTATACCACCGTTCAGTTTTTTAAAAAGAAACTCTAATCTGTCATCTGCAAATTTTTTAAATGGAATATTTTGAGACTGAAGTGAAAGTTCAAACAATTCAACGTAATGAATAAATATACTGCTGTGACATGTCACTCAAGTAAGTTACTCAAAATAGTCTTTACTTGAATGTCAGCATTATGAGGGAATATTTTAATTGTCTCTCATTTTAAAAACTAACAGGAGACTCTTTTTTCCTCAACAGTCAGATTATACTTACGGCCCAATTCCTCACATAGTATGTGAAAAAGGTATGTACATACTTAAAGGCTACAGCTTGATAGGACTAATAATTAGCAGTATTTCCTTCAACAATAAATCAAAACCTAATGGTAGTATTTTTTGACCACCAACTATTCTTTGCAAATACAATATAAATTACCACTTAGAGGCCACCTCTTTTATTTGCATAGCAATGTGTTGCCTTCCTCTTCACACACAAAGCTCAATGCATCTTTTTCCGTACCCTAGGTTTTCAGTAATAAATAGGACAAAAAGTTGTCAAGTATATCTCCCTCATGGACATTCTCTACGTACACAAAGCACCAACTCAGGCTTTGTGCATCACTGACAATTGCAAGTTGAAATATCTGTCAGTGTAAACACGTGACAGTAATTGCTCTTCCATATCGTATACTTTTGATAATGTCAAAGAAAACCGGACCTGGAAGTGATTAAAGCAGTAAAAACAGATTTTATTCAGTAACTATTACAGTAAAGGAAAGAGACCTCAGTATAGAACTGGGATCAATTCCAAATACAGCAATAACAAGCAGGGATTTATAGCCAAGGAGCAGGATGGAGCTGAGTGGATGGAAAATAACTAAGAGGAAACATAGGGGGATTCTGGTTATAGGGCCTTAACAGTATTCTTGCTGAAGGCAAGCCAGGGTGATCACATATTGCCTGGTGGGGGATGAGCAATTTGACCAAGTATCAAGGGTGATCTGATATCAAGGGTAAGACATTTTCTCTTAACTAACTTAGCAAGATTCTTGCTGAAACTGGGCTATGCAAATATTGCAAGAATGGGGCCTAGACACAAAAAAGACTTAGAGAAACCTGACTAAACTTTGCTTAAGAAGACAGTGTTAACTGTCCCCTTCTGGGAAAAAGACAATTTTAGTTCTCAGTGATGCCAAGTGAGGAAGGTGGGGAGAAATTAAAAATGTTAGTTTGGAGACTTGTAGTAGGCTATCAGAGGAAACTAGAAGAATTGAGAAAATGTGTAAGATGGCAGGATCCAATAAGCCAGGTACCAGGCCAGTTTCCCAAGAGGACTTTGTAAGCATTGACTCCATAAAGTCTTTGTGCCTTAAAAGTGTCTGGACATATCTGATTCAATGCATCATTCTCAAATATGACATCCCAGTCAAAGCCTTGGTTATAAACTGATTTTTCCAAGTATGTCCTGTTACAAGGAAGACAGAATCTTATTGAACTTATCCAAATAATCGTAATGCCATTGAGAATTAGAATACTCAATAAGTGTTTCTGAATTCTGGAGGGATCAGGTTGGAAGAAAATATGTTTCATCTCTTTTTACAAAAGCATAACCTACTAAATTGTCATGAGTTACAGAAAGCATGAGAAAACAGGGGAAAAAATGCTCCTTAAATAAGACATTAAAGAATGAGAAATATTCCAAAACAATAACCATAAAAATTATCTTATTTATTAGTTTATTCTGCCCCATGTAATTGAATCTTCTGCTTTATCCCGGGTTAGCAGTTTTATGAGTCAGCTTCTCTAGTAGCTGCGGAAATCCATACTCATTCCAGTGGTATGGTCTA